CTGGATGCTTTACACAGAAGTAGACTTATATTTCTAAATATTTTTATTTTTAATCAGAAATATTAAAAATATATTATTGAGCACTAAACTCAGTGAATATCCTAAGGAAATCAGGAGGAAAAAAGACAATAATGATGAAAAGATAAAATGAATTAAGAAGCAGAGGGAATAATAAATAAATCTAAGATTTGATCCTTGGAAAAAAAGCAATAAAATAGCAGACATTTGAAGGAAGCAGCACTCACAAATCAGGGAGGCATTAATTATTCCACAAAAGCTTCGGGTAAATTTTGGTAAATATTTAGAAAAAATTGAGGTAGTGTCTCACCTCACATCATACATAAAAGTCCCAAATGGGTTAAAGAGCTAAATGTAAAAAAATAAGTAAATAAAAATAAAAAGGGAGGATTACATAATATTTCATTGATGTCAAGGTAGAAAAGAACATTTTAAGAATAAAAGCAGAGAACCCATACACAATGGAAGTTGATATATTTTGTTAAATAAAAATGTAAAGCATCTATATGTTAAAAATTATGAGTGAAAAGTCAAATCATAATTAGTAGGGGAAAACTCTTAACATGAAATAAGATAGGAAAAGAATATTCATATTAAATAAAAAGTGCTTAAAAAGCAGGGAAAACAGGTAAAGGACATGATTTCATAGAAAAAGAAACAAAAATAATGATACTAAATGTTGGAGGATGTGGGCAGATAGGCATTTTCATTCTCTGAATTGGATAAATAAGATAGGAAAAGAATATTCATATTAAATAAAAAGTGCTTAAAAAGCAGGGAAAACAGTTAAAGGACATGATTTCATAGAAAAAGAAACAAAAATAATGATACCAAATGTTGGAGGACGTGGGCAGATAGGCATTTTCATTCTCTGAATTGGATGTGTAATTTACTACAAGTTAGCAATAAAGAACTAGAGACTTAAAAACCCTCGATAGTTCAATAATCCTACTGTACAGCCTTTCTAAATCTCCCTCCTGGTAAGGAAGCATACACTCCCTTGGTTACAGAAGAGAAAAATCCTCCCTGCTCCTCCCACAGTCTCTTTTTTCTACTGAATCCATAAGTGTGCAGCCCTTAGGAGACGATACAGATAGGCTGAGGCATATCCCTGTGTCTACCTCCACCAAATTCTAAGGGGAAATGCCTGGCTCCTTCCCTCCCTGAGAAAAGAGGAAGTGGCAGAGACCTCCAGTGTTCCCATGGGACCAGGGCAGAGGGCAAATTCTATACCGCCTCTGCACAAGCCCACAGGATGGCTGCTTGACAAGGTCATTCAGGCAGAACATTGGTCCCCACAAACCCTTCCATGATGCTGCTGTTGTGAGGATCGTTGTCACACCTGACTCATATTATTGCAGTCTCTTGCTACATGTAATTCGTAATAACTTCTTATAGCATACATTATACGAAGTTATACGGCCTGTTTGGTCAGTGTACAATTGTGGATAAGCCAGAGCTCATTCCTATGTTGGAACATGGGATGGCATTGCATGATGTCAGAGCAGATTGCCTAGTTGAATTTTGTGAACTTCTGAATACTCTGGAGGGCTTACTAATGCACAGATTGTGCAACTCCAGCTCCAGAGTTTCTTTCTCAGGAGCCTGAGAATGTGCATTTCTAGCAAGTCCCCAGGTGGTGCTCAGGCTGCTCATCTGGGGGCCACATTTTGAGAACCACTGCCTTGGGCAAACTGTTTTTGTTTTTTTTCCTGCCA